TATATAATGAATGTCCTAGATGATAAGGGCCTCATGAAATTGTAATGTGAAAAAGGAAAATGGAAAGGAAATTAAATTTAAACATGATATACCTGTATGTGTGAAATGAAAACAAATCACAAGAGATTCTGGGAATGACCCCCCTCAACTTCTTAACACCGTTCAACACAGCATAGCAAGTTTGAGAATGTGCCTGCCAGAATCTTGGTGTCACTGCCCAAGTTTCACAATGGATGCTCTGCTGCAACTCATCAAGGATGTGTAATTTGTCACTGTTATCCGACAACAAAAACTGAAGGGGGCAGCAATAACCAGTGACCTCGGGGGCCATAATTTTTTTGAAATAACTGTCCGGGGAAAATGAGACATTTATGTGCAAATTAGCAGAATTAAGAGAAATTTAAAAGAAAAAAAGCTAGCTGTTTGCATGAGTTAGGCTCTCCAGCTAAGTTTAAAGCACGCTCTTGTTAGCACATTAGGTGCAGTTTTGAAAATGGGGCGTCTTTGAGGTCTATTGAGTCAGAGTTGGTGACATGTTGGTTGCTGGTTAGGTGGTAGCATTGTGCCACTTAACAAAAGACACATTACATTTCTTCTGGAAATCTGTACACTAGATTTTTTCTGAAGAGGAATCAGGGAAGAGATTTTATTCCCAGAATACATGAATTGAATGACAGAGCATAAATTTAAATGAAATGTTTAAATAAGAATAAGATAATATAAAGTGAAGTTATAAATCATGTTTGGAATTTTTTAAGTCTTTTTCCTTCCAGATATCTGGAAGGACCTGAACTGCTGAAATGTTACCTTTGATAACGATCCAGCTCTTTATATGTAAAAAGAAAAACTACAATTACACTTAAAATTTCACGTTATTGTACAAAGTTGGCTCTGAATTTTTAGATAGTTAGAATTTTAAGTTTCTAACAAGGTTGTTAACCTTTAACTGCTGTGAGCGGTCTCTCAGAACGTGCGACATTTTCCATTAAATGCTTCCACCCCTTAGAATAATTAATGGGTATTGCCATTCTTAGTACCTTCCTAAACCAGTTGTCCAAGGTCACATACCAAGTTGCATTTGGCTAGCTCTATTTCTTCTTTTATTTTTTAAAATTTTCTTCCCTCAGTGGTCTGTGGGACCGATCACAGCAGATACGATTCAAATTTTGGTCGACAAAGTTCACTTTTTGTTGTTGTTACATATTTTCGCTTTTTATAAATTTTTTGAATGGCTCAAATGCGCGCAGGAAACGTTCTATATATCTTACCCAGACCAAATTAAATAAATAGTTCGAAATTGGTCTAATTTACAGTTCTGAATAGTTCCCATGATGAATTATTGAAGCGACCACGACACAAATTCAGAATATCTACGGATGAAAATGAAAATCCATGTTCTCTTCTAGAAGAGATTTTTTATTGGGAAAAATGAATTCAAATGGCCTATTCAAGAGCCCAACAAGGGTGTTCGAACTCGTAGTCCCAATATTATTCTTCGTTCAATCTATTCAACTGCTCATCGAACCCGACGTTAACCTACGGCAATATTCTTCAGAAACTTGGATATTTGTGTAACAAATGCATTCGTATTACTTCAATCTTATCCCATTGGCTCCGAAAATAAAACGAAAAGATTTCATTAGCAATACAATTGGTGCAGTCTCATGTAAAACGGAGGATAACTTCATCATTTTTACCCTAAAAGAACTCAAACTTACAATAAGAAGAGTTTTTGGAATAAATGATGATAAACGAAACATTGCGATCGAAGACGATAAATTAAATAAAAAAAGAATGTGCTATATTTGTCCACCATGCAAAAAATAGGAAAACAGCTTACAAATGTATAGCGTGCAAAGAACCAGTGTGTCTACAATGCAGTAGAAAAGAATATATAAAATGCAGCTCGAATTATAATTTTTAAAATAAAAATTAATTTCCTATGTTCTTATTAAAGCATTCTTATCGCAAAGACCGCTCACAATAGTTATGCGACAATTTAAGTCACAGTAGTTAAAGGTTAAGGACCTCCTTTTCATATTTTTAAATTCTGGCAGGGAAAATGTAGAGTATGCTTTAATTTTCTAACCCATTATTTTAAGTACCTTTTCTTTCCATTCTTGTTTCATTTCCCTGCTTGAATGCAAATTTCCAGAATGTGCAATATTCAAATTAGGTAGAAGAAAGATAGTATTTAAAGGAAGGTTCTGGAAGGCGAATTCAGACCCTGTTCTGCCTGCTTGAAAGCAGCATTGCTAACTTTTAATTCTCTACCCATTAGAATTCTGTGCTGTTGAGTTATTCTTGCCATTAGGCTTGCTTACACTGACTTTCGAGTCACAGCCAGCTCATGCAATAATTAATCTGTGAAGCCATTAGGCTACATTTAACTTTAATTGATTTCTAAGCTTTTCATTACCCTTTAAGCCAGAAATCTTGGTTTTTGTAAGCACAAGTTGGTGCAGACTGTCAAACCTCATCTGAGTTAATAAAGGTTTTTTACACCCTTCTCTTGACTTTGTGGCACCTTAAAGAATTTGGTGATACTTCACCAGTTTTTAACATCACGTAAATTTTATCACAGCAAAGAGAACAAGATGTTACAATTCTAATATATATATATACACACGGTGAGCTAACATAAAATATTAAGAAAATCATAAAAAAGGAAGAAACTATGATAAGTGCAGTTTGCAAGAAAAAGCTCACAAGGTGGATTTTTTTTTTAGCAGCAAAAAAATTTTTAATAAAAAATGCCACCGGTATAGGGCAATGACATGTGAAAGATTCAGCAGAATTATGCAAATTAATCCTACTATAAAAGACCATGATACAAAATGATTTCTTATTTGCTTTCAGAATGTTATCATTACCCAACTGACTGTTGTTTGTGAAGTTGTTCTATTTGACTAGAGAGTCAGCAATTGTTGTGTTACGAAAATTTCCCACAGCGAAAGGACTGAAGACTAAGAATGCCCCATACTGTATTCTGATACTGAAGCTTGTCAAACGGTTCAAAGAAACTGGCTCTTTGGATGATCGTCCACAAAGTGAAAGACCCTCGTTGGCGAAAGGCCGAATTACTGCACTGGAACCCACTATGAATGATATAGTGGTGGAATGGTCCATGGGGAGTAGCGGTGATCCCAAAGCTGGAAGGATATTGGATGTACTTCGCTCATCGATTTGACCTATCCTCCATTGAATACTGTATCTCTATCCCTACAAATTGCAGTCACTGCATAAGTTACAACTAGGAGACACAGCTATGAGGAAACCATTTGCCGAGTGTGCTATGGCAAGAATTGACAGCGACTTTCAGTGGTTGCTTAATGTTACCTGGACAAATGAAGCACACTTAACACTACACAAGGATGTCAGCACCCAAAACACTCGCATATAGGGTGAAGTTGAATCCTTGTGAATACACGATGAAGTCACTGCATCCAGCCAAGTTAGCAATCTGGTGTGGCTTTACCCCAGCTTTCATTATCATACCATTCTTCTTTGAAGAATCTGGCTGAAAAATGTGCACAGTAACTGCTCAGCGTTATCTCCTTCTTTTGCGTGACAAAGATATGCCTGCATTAAATCAAAGAGGTGTGTTATTTGTAATAAGCTTATGCAGGATGGCACACTGCCACACTATGCCAATCCAGTAAAATGATTCCTTATTGAGTACCTTTGGTGAAGACAGAGCGATCAGTCGAAGTTGCAAGATTGCATGGTCTTCGATCATCCGACCTCACCCTGAGTTGCGGGGCTATTTGAAATCATTTGTGTACTGTTTATCCCCCTCAACATCGGACGAACTCTCTACCTGTCGTGGGGTTTCTGCAATTCATTCTGACATGATGCATTCAGTTGTAATAGCTGCTGTGAGGCATCTTAGTTGTGTCGTACAGTGTCCTGGAGGCCATGTTGAACAATTGTTGTTGCAAGAATAAATGAATGAAGGATACTGTTTATCGTGTTTCAGGTCATTAGCACCCTCTACCAGTGACATTTTTAACTAAAAATTTTTTTGCCGGGGAGAGGAAGACTTGTGACACTTTCTTGTGAGCTCTTTCTTGCAAATCAAACTTTATCCTAATTTCTCCCTTTATAGATTTTTAAAGTTTTAATGAACTTTTGGTACAACCTCTATAAGCCTCCACATTTGGATATGACTGAATTATTTTTCAATCCTTCAAGACTTGCTGCTCTGTTAGTGTCCAAAATTACAAAAACACAAGGCTTTTACCCCTCCGAGGTTTATGGATGTAAAATTCCATATAGATGAATGGCTTTTTAATTCATTACACATGAAAATTTTTGTCAGCTCCTGATCTATTAAATTTTGGATAGATACAGATATTGAAAGAAAAGGAGTCAAGGTACAGAGTGAGATAATTTTGGAACTACATTCAAGAAAGTAAACATTGGATTAATTAGTTTTATGAATTACAAGAATATGTGTATGGACTTTGTGAGCATAACATATGAAAATAATGACTTTTATCAGGCTATACTTGCTACAGGAGAGTAAAAAATCTATATTCCTTAACAGTTTCTTAAACTGCTTAAAGCTGTTAGACATCACAAAAAAAGGGAAGCTAATATAAAATTGTATGAACATTTTCATAATGAAACACATTAAAAGTACTCAGAAAATTTTTAATAGTTCTAGGTAAATTTCTGTATGTACTTTGACATATAATAAGCACTAATAACTGCAACAAGAGAAGAGCCAATATATTTATAGCTTCTGATGAGCACACAGTAAAAACAAAATACTGTAAATGTGTACTTTACTTCAGCAGTGCAATATTTGACTAGAATGAGAACATTTTGAATTACTTTATATAATAAAAAATTTGATCTTTTGGGTAGATTATTTACCTTTGTTTTCCAATTCTAAAAAAAAAAAAAAAAAAAAAAAAAAAAAACCTTAAAAAAGAGAAAGAAATTATACACACACATATATCTATCTATATCTATATATACATATAATCAGTTACTTCATTTTGCCAGGGCCTTGACCATAACCTTTAGATTCCAATTTCCGATAAAAATTTCGTAATTTTGCTTCAAAATCTCGTCTATATGGAGCAGGGGCTCTAACATTTGCTCTCTGAAGACCTGAAATTAAAAGTATAACCACAGATAATTTAAGATAATACTTGAAATGCATTTTAAGCTAAGATAAAACCTAAACGATTGAAGATGGTGGCAGCAGCTGTAAGAATCCTGTAAGCAACCTGAACTTTTAAATGAATGAAGGATACTGTTTCATAGTTCAAAGTAATTATAACCAAATATTTTTTTTTTAAATCTTCCTATAAGAATTAAGTGTGCCAGTATTATATTAGCTAATAATAAATATATACATGTAAAGGCATTAAAAGGACACGTTACTAACCAGGAGAGGCCTGAGGTGAAGGTTGTGGTGATGTGCGAGGAGAACGATGGTTGCTACTACTACTACTGCCATTACTTGTAAATTGAGCAGGTATATAAGACATAATTTCTTGCTCAAATAAGCTGAAAAACATAAAAAGTTTAATCCCCCAAAAAACTACAAAGCATACTTACTAAAAAAATTAACATTATTTCAAAATGCACAAATTATACCTTAAAAGAATAGTCAGATCTATGTCATGACTGAATCTATCAATAGCAGCAGTGCCATCTGCTCTGACAGCATTGACTTTATCCCGTAAAGCCTGATTGGATGCAATGATTGGGTGACGCTCTTTCAAGATGTCCATTATATTTGGCTGTCTTAGGAAAGCTACAACTTTATCATTGTAAGCAGTTGGCACATGGGGAACAACATGAGGCACAGTAGATGATGTACTAGCAGGTGGTCGGGGAGGAGGCACAGGGCCTTGAGTTGTTGCTGCTGCTGCTGCCACTGCTGTTGTCGTTGTTGTCAGAGGCTGAAAGAAGGGGAGGGGGTAATCTTTGAAATGCTTTTTTAAATACTTAATTTTTCAATCGCACAGTTACTTAAAAGGATAAAAACTGTTAAATTTCAAGTGGGAATTAAAGGTTGAAAAAAATTATACACCAAAAAACAAGCATATATGTTAACTTTTGAGGAAATTTAAATAGCATATCAAATAAAAAATACAAAGATTTATATCAATCTTATATCATCTTAGTATGCAAAGGGTAATAAGATCTTATATGTATCTTAATAAACAAAAGATGTTTTAATTTTTTACAACAATGCTTTCAAATTAATTTTTTTTGGACGAGATACTGTGAGCTGCATATATTTACACAGAAAAAATGAAAATGAAAAAATTTACATAAAAATGTGCAAACTTGATAATTAAAATTGTATAATATGGAAACAATGTTTTGTTTATCTTATATTACATCTACCCATATTTAAATAAATTTAGTTTCTGTGGAAAAGCTTTTAGTACTACTTTTGTTTATAAAACACTAAAAGTAATATTTCATATTGGTAACCAAATATGCATATGCATTTTGTCATTCGGCAATAAACTGCCATTGGCTGATGATTTTAAGTATGGCTTATTTTAGGGATAGGATTTACATTAGAAGTACCCTGAAAAATCATGCTAGGGCTCATTTTTTTAATTAAGTTTTTATTTTTTTAGAAACATGGTATAATGTAATGTAATATGCACATGCTTTTTCAAAGCCAGTGCAGTTATGAACTCTGCAGATGTTAGTGAAACCAGACACAGCAATGAACTAGAGAATCTTGCAATCAAGTATAGCATGATAATACACTTGCAAGCGCTCATACACCTATTCTTTGGTGAATCCAGGAGTATCACTTCACATATCCCACTCTGGAGACCATTGCTTCAAGTCACAAAGGATATCCATTTGCCTCTTTCTGAACGACTGAATTCTTCAATGTGTTCTACATTTATGCACATAAATGGTTAGGAATGTGAACATTTTTAAGAATTAAACCTTTGTTTTTATTATGTTTACAGTTAATACAGAGTTCTTTAAAAACCCTGCAATTATTTATAAATGTCTGGATTTTTTTTTTTTCCCCCAATTACAAAATTTATTTTTGAAATAGCCTTAAAAGACTTACTTAAGCCTTAGAAGAATATTTCTCCCCTACACAGAAGGAATTTCTATCTCATGTATTTTGAGTAATTTAACTTACATTTTATAAAAAATGTTAATTTCATTATTTTCACTATTTCTGTTATGTGCTAAATAAGTTATAATTTCACAATTTTTTATTTCTGTTTAGTGCCCTTATTAATACAGCTGAAACATATCATTCCATATAAACTTGCTTGCCTATGTCCTTTTTAAAGCAAATAATATTTAAGTACATCAGATAATAATTAAGGTTCAAAATGACAAGTTACTGTCAAATATTCTTTTGGACCACAAATCTTTCAATATTTTTACACCAAAATCATTCCTAAATGTGCCCTCTTCTCCCCAAAAAAACTCTATGTAACTGGCGCATAACAGTTAGTAAAAAAAAAAAAAAAAAAAAAAAAAAAAAAAAAAAAAACCCCTCCATTCAGTGGATATGGAGATTTTAGTATGCATTTTAGTATGCATTTTTTTGCAAAGGGAAAAAAAGGAAGGGGGCTGAGAAAGCAGACTTTTGATAACAGTTCTATCTTTATAGAAATGATAAACTTATTGCAATGTACAGCCTGACAAGCATGGCAGAAGAAACATTATCTCACAGATAACCTATAAAATGTTGGTAAAAAGAATGAAGCAAACAGAATTGCCTAGATCTGCTTTAAATCAAACATAACATTTCAGTTAAAAACTGTTTGATACACAGACTTCATAAAAATGTTTCTTTTTTCTTATGTGAAAGTAAAACAAAAGCTATTACTCACTCTTACTATGGTATCAGGCCTAATCTCTTCTTCACCAGCACTACGACTTCTTCTCCTGGCCAAGGGTACAGGAAGTTTATTTGGATTTACAAAAGGAGTTTCAATAGGCAGCCTCGGATCAATGAAAGTTGTACTTCGAGATGTGTGATCGATGAAAAATTGCTGCAAATGAATATATATATTACAATCCACACACACATAAGAGAAGAAAATAAAGCACATAAAATAAAAATACAGAATTTATTAATAAAGCATCAATGGGCACTTTTAAATATACAATCAAATTTCTTACCTTACCAGCTCGATCAAGTTTTGTTTCCCAACCTCTTGGCAAGTCTCTTGCTGTATCAGCAAATTTATTTAAAAGACTTACTAAATCTCTATTATGTTGATACCTGGGTAAAAATGAAGAAAACACTATCTTAAAAATATCTGATAAATTACACATCTTTAAAAAGGATAATAGAAAATGTTAAAAAAATAATTTTATTGATTTTTATTAAAAAATATTTTTAAAAAATCTTAAAAGTATAGTACACATAAACATACCTTTCAAAGCCAGAAGGATCTCTTCTAATTTTGGTTATCATGTGTTTTAAAGAAGAACTTCTATTATACACAGCAAGAGCTTCCTATGTAGATTAGATAATTATTAATATTTTAAAAGATTTCATAAAAATCCTGAAAATTATTTTAGAAATTGAATTTAAAAATAAATTTTAAATCCTAATTCTTAAGCTGAAGGCTGTTTACTGATCATTTGGAAATATAATTATTAAACAATTATATTGTATAAATTAATTATTAAACAACCCTTTCAACTTAAGTTGCTTAAGGAATTTTTTTCATTTAATTTTCTCTTTATTTTAATAGACATACATTATTTTCTGTTTAGTAACAAAATTTCACAGTTCAAGCCCTGTAACTGCCATGCTGAGAATTCCCATTAAATAGTCAATCAAAATTTTTCACTCTCAACAGCATTTCCAACCATTTCTTTGCTAATATTTTACTTACTAATATTACTTAATATTTTCAGGATTTACAAGTATACTACAGATTTTGCTGTCCATTAATTAAAAGATGTTTCAATACTATAGCAGACAGTATTTTGATATTTTTCTGCAAACAAAATTTTAACTAGTTATGGCAAAATCAATTTATGGCATATTTTTTATCAAGTATAATATTCTTCACTCCTACACTGTTATAAGGAAAAATAAATCTACATTAAAAAAGAGGGAAAGGAGTCTGAATTAAATCATTCTAGTTATTCTCCGATGCTCAGATCTAATACAGATTTTACACTGTAATTTTCCTATCATGTCTCTAGAGTTAATTCACAATTAAAATAGAAACTAAAAATATATCTCTAAGGAAGGCATGTTCCTCTATTTCTAACTTCTAATAAACATCTGCAGAAGTTTAATAGACAAAATCAATATTTTTAGTTGCTTTTAAACTAACTCTCAGTACACCACCAATAAATGCTCAAAGATGGTTAGTGGAGGGGTGAAGGAAGGTTCCTCAGCCTGTTATTACCTGTAAGATCACCAGAAATTATTATCTCCTGCACTTTTTTGTTTTCCACCATTGAATTCTACCTGTTCTTGAGGCACAGAGAACTGGAAGTACTCTGAATACTTCCAATAATAATATAATATATAAGTTTATTCCAATAATAACATAAGTGTTGTGTTTAAAAAAGAGGATGTGTATCCAATTCATTCACGTTTCATCGCAACACCATGCTTGGATCATCATTCCCTTCCTTTGAAGTTTCATCAGTCCTTTCAATAACTTCATCCAATGTAACTGATGTTCTTTAGCTGGATGATGTCTGTTCTTTTGCAATCGATTCAATGTGAACATAATTTATGTCCGAAGTAGTCTTCATCTTTTTTATGAAATGAGATACTGTGTTTACCTGCTTCTGAAGGGCAGCATCTTTCTCAGCTTTGCGTTTACAATTCTTCGCACGGGATGGTTTCTTCTTTGTTTCCATATTATCAAAATTTCAGATTGAATTTTAAATTTAAAAATTCAATTCTAAATATTAAATATCTAATCTTTCTTTTAAAATAAACCATGACATCTGCTAAATATGGAATAAAGATGAAAAGTAAAAAAAATTGGAGCTCATGAAAAACTAAAACAAAAACCTTTATCATAACTTTTTCGAGCAGCTGGTGAAAAATTAGCATCTTTCTAACTAACAATAAGGAAAAGTTTGACAATGCGATGGGTCAAACCTAAATGCTTGCCAAGGGCTCTGTGTACAATGACCTCAAAACCTCTCTCCTCAAATACCAACTAAGTCTTATCTCAATCCATTTGTACACTACTACGACAGCACCGAAAACAAAACAGATACTAGCTCACAGTGAACGTAACCACATAATAATGTCCCTGTAAATATCCCTCCAGCACATTTAACAGCTTTATGTGAAGATGTCGATTTTCTGTACATATCTTTCTTTTTGATGTCACACTGTACTATTGCATCACCTTTTATAATTGAACTATTGTGAAATTCTAATGTTGATTTTAGTTTATTACTATCCTCAATCTTGTAAATGCTTCCAATGTTTCATTGCATTGTTATTATTTGTTTTAATATATCACCCGTCAACGAAAGCCAGATTTCTAAAAGGCATCACAGACAAAAACGCTTATGTTTGGATATGAAATTCATAGAAAATATCTAAAAATGAACCGTTCACAATCAAACTTCTCTTTTCCAAAATTCTCATCAACATGGAATCAACAGATGTTGTCGTGGAAGAGCGGCAACAAACAGTTTGATTTTCCCGATGGAGGACTACAACCTCTAAAGTCCCTCATGTGGTATTTTGAAGTTCAATTATCTATATAAATACTATTCATATATTTTGAAGAAATAATCATTAAATATACCCCTAAAATTAACTTCAACATCTGAAGTGCCTTATAGCTGAGTGGATTCAGATTTTTTCCAAAGGACGAGAGAGGGTACAATGCGTACCAGGCACCTAATCAGAAAATTTCAGAGGAGGAAAGTGCAGAATGTTTTGCTAATATACAAAAAATTTATGATTACATCTGGAATCAATTCTACTGTTTGTTGTAAACCTAAGCTTAAATAACCAATGTATAGAATTCTGTTTTTAGCTCGAGGGAATTAATAACATTTTGAAATTTCAACCATTAACGAGAAGGATAAGGTCCTCAGGGAATCCAATGCAGCATTCTCCAGCAGGATACGGGGCGAAATCCCAGAAGCCAACTTAATATTAAAGACCTAATAAAGATTCTCAACGTTTTACGAAAATAACTGAATATAAAACTTCAGTTCTTACCTCGGGGCCCCCTGCCTATGTGCCTAATGGGTAAGCTCCTCAAGCGGCTTTTTATATCTCTTTTGCCTTTCTGCACGAATACACCAAGGGGCTTAATTGGGGATTCTAGTCATTAAATAAATTGTATAAACGTTGAGAATTTGAACTTAGACTATAAACCCCTGCAACCAGCTTCTCCACAAGAGAAAAATAAATCCTCTACATGACTTGGAATATTCTATTATATTGCATTTTTTGTCCAAGCAAATCTTGCCCTCCTCTCCAACTCCCGTGAAGAAAATGAAAAGTTGGCACCTGTATTCATTCTTACGCAGTGGCGGCTCGTGTCTAAAATTAGTGTGGTGGGGGGGGGGCTGTTCCAAAAAAATTTAACCCTTAAAAATTGTCTAAAAGGATTGGATTGTTTAATTAATGTTAAAGCACACGAGGGCTATCTGCCTAAAGGGAGGGATGCCTTCGTGCAGGACTTTCTAAGGAAAACTGGCTCGTATACACGTTACACATGGGGAAAACCACGAAAACGCCCATGCAGCCAACCTGTTTGCGGGATTCGAACCTCGGACCGAACTACCAGTATCCAGCGTGTTTACCGCTCGGCTGCTGGTGGGCACAACTGTCTAAAAGGAAACAAACATGTATAAAAAGAAAATTTATTTTGAAACTTCATGAAATCTTACAAGAAAAAAATTAAACATTTCCTAATTACTTTAACCAAAATTGTTACAGTTCAATCTTTGTCTATTCATTTAAAAATGAAATCCATTCTTCTTGTTTTAATTTGCGCAAAAAGATAAATAATTTTCTCCTTGATCTCTGGATGACAACTGAGGAAATTTTTCTTTATTGAAAGCAATGCAAGTGCATTTAGTCTTTTCCGAAAAAGCAGTGTTCTGCCTCTGATGTAGTCATGGGAACTCTCAAGAGAATTTTTATCTGTTTCGTAATTTCACTAAGAATATATCTAGATTATTTTCGAAGATAAATTTCAGTAGTTCAATTAATTTGAAGTATTCATGGATATCAGACCCACAATAGAATACTTTTACTTTGGTTTCAAGCTTTTCTTTGTCAATCATTGGATATGCTCCAGCGGTCTGTACTGTTTTTTCTGTAAAATGTTCATTCCTAAAACTAGCAAAGCATTTCTTGTAACAACTGCTAAGTGTTTAGTGGTAGAATATTTGTGCATTATATCAATACATAGTATAAAGTCACATATTTCCTTAGCTTCTGCCATCAGTATCTTTGAAAATTTCTCACAGTATTTTGAGTTTCTTAATTCTACAATAACAGTTTGAAATATGTTACATATCCCTTAACTTTAAACACACTAATTTCTCTGGATTGCATTTAGTTGTATATTATTTGAACATGAGGCATCTAATAAAAAAGCTCTAAGCAAAACTTGAAATTATCATCATTTAGATATTTTAAAATTCCTGTTGCTTTCGCAATAGTTTGATCTACATTTGATGTTGACTGAATTTCAGTAAGGCAATTTTTTAAAGGTTGAAAATTTTCATCAACTCTGTTTATGGTTCGTATGGTGAAGTTCCACCTTGTGGAGGAATACCACACGCGCGGAGTAAAAAGAAATCACGTTTCCAACAACATGCCAGAATTTTGGCACTGTACGAGCGACAGTGCTCTTCTCTCTACCCGGCTCGCGTGCTGCTTTTCTGTGTGCGCATGCGCAGAACAGCCAAAAACCATGTCGCTGGAACTGTGAAACGCGCAGTTCCAAACAAAGAATTTTGTACCTTTTTCACAAAGTAGGGGATAGCTACTGACATTAAGCTTAAGGATTATGTATTATAAAAGTATAAAGAAAGAATTAAAGACTAAAAGGCACACTATATTAAATATTAAAAATAATAATAAGTGGAAATAGGGGGTGCTGCAGTTCCACAGTGCTTATTACGAGCCGCCACTGTCCTTACGTATGGGAAAAAAAAAATTTTCCCCCATAGAAAGGGCTAATCAGTTCTCCTCCTTCTCACTCTCAGAAAGCTTTTCTAGGAAAACGCTGTATTTCACTGTACACATTTTAAATAAAAATATAATAAAACCGATTAAATAAGGATAAATAGAAATTGTATTATGTAAAATAAAATAAGTACATACTTCATCAAATGGGTTTTGTCTTTTCCCAATAGAAATTTTTCTTTGCCAACCACTCAATAAATATGAAGAAGGAATGTATAAATGATACATAAGATGTGGCTTTCTAGACACATGGAAATGACCATTATATGGTACTAGATGCTCAGAAGGGTTATTTTGAATAGTGCACA